GTCGCCCTCCAACAACGGAGAGGGGACGGCGCTCACAACCGCGAGCGGAATACCGCGCGGATAAATCACGGCAATTTGGCACCGTAGATGGGGGGGGGGGGGGCATAGCACCTGGGCCTGTTCCGTGACCTGCCGGCGACCCTTCGACGCTTAACGCGGTCTCGGAGTGCACCTAGCCTGGCACATGCGTCGTGGTGACGTCACCGCCACTTGCGGCTGTTGTTGTTGTTGTGTGAATATCGGTGATGATTATCTGAACCGGTCCTGGGCCTCCTCTAGTTAGACTCGGCTTTGAACGAGAACGCGGTGCGATATGTAAACATTGCCACCGCACCCCCCTTGTGTGCCGTGCCGATCTTCATAGGTGCTGCTCGCAAAGAGCACTCGCCCCAACAGCCTGTTAAAGGCGATAGGGAACAAAAGGGGAAAAAACAATTCTCATATTTTGGTACTGGCAAAGGAGGTCCCATGATGTAGATGCTCACCCCGAGCTCTCGTTACTCTGATAGTGCATTGTCTCTGGGCTGTACGCCTTTTTGCGTCCTTTGGTCTCGCACCGTTTGAGACGAGGCTCAACAGAAAGCTGTCTCTGGTGTAGACCAATCAGTTTCAAGGACAATGCATATATTATCAGAGTTTGTTTTTTGTTTGCATTCTGGCCACAAGCATTGTGGTTAGAATGCAAACATGATTCCTTGTAAAAGGTTTGTTTTGTTGCCAGAAAAAAGGGGAAAAAAACCTATTCTCTTCTTAGACGGAACATCTTTGTGTGTCTGTGTGTGTGAGAGAATGGGTGAATCTGTCGTGAGGTACATGATGGCGTGAGTGTGTGTGTGTGAGAGATAGGATAAGGGGGAGGGTGAGAGTGAGTGCATTCATGAGAGAGATGAGCGCATGCTTGCGATTGTGTGCACGTGTGTCATTGTGTCTGTGATCACCGATAAGTGTATGAAAAAGAATAAGTGCACACTGGCGTGCACATATGAGTATAAAAGAAAGAGAGAGATGTTTGACAAGTGCGTTTGTGATTGGTGCGTGTGAGAGGGAAAATGTGTGCGTGAGAGTGTGTGTGTGTGTGGGGAGCGGTGGCAGAGTGGTTAGCGCTACGCTGCGCTACGAACCCGGCGACCCGAGTTCGATTCCCGCTCACGGCCAACACTGGTGGTGACGATTATCTGAACCCGTCTTGGGCCTCTCCTAGGTCTACTCGGCCTCAAATGAGTACCTGGTGCGGTGTGTGGTGCTGGCCACCCACCCCGTCGTGTACATCCAGTCTGTTAAACGCTATAGGGGGGGGGGTATTAATCTATCTCGTTGTGTGTTTGTAACCTCGTACCAGTTGAGATATCACGTGACACTGATGTTAGCCGTGGCCGTGAATCGTCCTCGGCTAACCTGGCTCGTAGCGCAGTGGCACTAACCACTGCGCCACCGCTCCACGCTCCTGCTGGCTGATTATATATTTGTATTATTGAGCCCCCCCCCAAAAAAAAATACAAAAGTGTATTTTTAGAATTGTTGCATTGTGTACAGTCTGCAGGAAAGTACCCACATGGCAAACTTCCAGTTAGTTGCATGTCAGGAAGTACGCTAAACATTTTGAACAGACACACATAATCACAAATTTCCCTCATATAGATAGATATACGAGTAACGATGCATATTCATCTTAGCCCCCTTAACGAGAGACCGATTCTGTTGGCAGGTGGCGTGAGCGGGAACACTTGCAGGGTTGCCCCTTTATTTACCCCTTTCACGCACGGGCCATTGTGGCGATCCACTGCTGGATGACGTCCTCCCCACGCCGTGTCGGTTAAAGGGGGGCGGGAGGAGGGGAGGGGGAGTGATGACCATACTTCACTGAGCTGGCTCAGGGCGGGCTTGCTTGGTGGCGTCTGCCGCTGCTTCTGATCGGCCTGGCGTGACTTAGCAGGGCCCCAAGTTGGCGCGTTCGTGCGCTTGAACTTCTAGCGATGGCCAATGTGGACGTTCAAGAGGTGTAAGGGGGGGGGGCAGGGGGGGGGTGAGATTGGGCGTTGGGGAGGTGGGGAGGGGTCTGAAATAATTAGAGCAAAGAAATCACGGCCCGCGGAATAGGGGGCATCGGCCCCGCATCAATCCCGGAACCACCACCGCCACCCCCGCTGCCAATACCACGTCGCCCCCTCCCCCCGTTCGTCTCCCTCGCCGAGAGGAAATCGCCTCCCAAGACGAGGGCAGCCACCACCACCACCCACCCCCCGCCACCTCCCTCCGTCCCTGCGCCTCGGGCCGCACCGCACAGCGCGCCTGCTCTGTGACCAAAACGGCCACCCACAGTCCGGCAACGTTGCCCATCTCGCAGCCTATAAGCAGTGGGGGGGGGGGGGGGGGGGTGAGCCCCGGGCGAGTGGTCTGATGGGGGCGGTCACGGTGGGCGTGAACGGGGGGGGGGGGGGTCAGAGGCGTTGCTGAGGGCAGCAGCAGAATCCATTGCTGTGCTCAACTCTCCCTGTCGCTTGCACGTCCTCTCCCCCCTCTTCCTGCTGACGCGTGCTTCTCTTACAGCCTCCCCACCCCTCGTCACCCTCCCCCCACCCAGTGTCTCCCCTCGCCGTGCCATCCCCCCCTTCCCTACCACCCCCACCCCTCCACCCCCCCACGGGTGATGTTCCACCACGCCTCGTTTGGTGTTTGTGGGTCGTGGCTTTAGTTACAGGGAGCTGCGCGGCTGCCTGAGTTGCTGCGTGATTCACGCCCCCCCCCGTCCAGCTTCCCCTCCCCCTCTCCCTCCCTGCACCACACTTTGTCCATCTTCCCATCTATACAGCCCCCCCCCCTCTTTTCCATTCATCTATCTCCCCCGACATCCAGCCAGCCATTCTTCCTACCATCCCATTTATTCACTTATGGATTCATTCCTCGTTCGATATTTTTCGGAACGACGCCAGGCTTGCTTTGGGGGGGGGGGGGGGTGTAGGCGTTATCGGCGTAAGGCACTACCACTAGAGTACACGCTACTCCTCTCCACGGAAATAATAACAACAATCCCTTACCGTTGTACTCTATATTCCTAGAATCACATGAAGATGTTCACGGAAAATAATAAGGCGAGATGGATGTGGCGCGCCAAAATGAACCCTTACCATCAATCTGATTACCATCAACCATTTGTGTCAACCGTCAGCACGTGTGCTTACCATCAGCGTGTTTACAATGAACCTGTTTACCATCAGCGTGTTTACAATGAACCAAAAGCAAAAGCCCCTCGGGTCCCCAAGCAGCCCGAAGAGGCCTCGGATTCATGAAAGATTTGGGCGGTGCACCCAAATGTCAACTCGAATTCAAATTCTAATGAACATCAAACGCCGATTTACATGAAGGCGCTAATTAATAATCTCTCGTTCCCGTCGTGTCGTGCGCGGCTCCCCCCTTATCCGTCTCGCCACTGCTGCCTGCTCCATTCTCTTCGTGTCGCCACATCCTCCGTCGCTCGTCTGCATCTCCGGTGTCTTCTCGTTCGCTCGAAAAGTAAAAAAAAAGTCAGAACGGCTCCCTGCGCGCTCGCGCGGAGCCACACGGACGCGTTGGCGCTCATCCGGCCACCCGGATTACGGTCCCGCAGGGGCAGTGGTGGAAATTCCACATTCCTATGGCGGAGGGAAGGGGTGGGGGCGATTTTCTGCTCTCCATAGCATCACCTCCACCGTTGACTTCGCCACAAAGTAGTGCCCTACTCGTTTTATCGGACCCCACAGGAATGATGGGTTGAGTCAACCCCCCCCCCCCACCCCGCAACCAGGATGTGAATTCGGTGAATTCGCAACCTCGCGATTGCGAGACGCTCGCTCACCCACCCCCTGATAATCGCCCTGGGAGTTCATGAATCTGAAAATGAGGGGGGGGTGTGGTGGGGGGCGGGGGGGGGGTGGCGGGGGGGTGGCGGGGTGGTTGGCGGCCTTTGCGACCTTCCGCGGGCACCACCCCGGAGCAGCGCAGGAGCCTCTCCCGTCGCTAATTAGCGGAGCAATTAATGCCATTATACAGCTCGTTAGGCAATTGCATTTGTACAATAATGGAGCAATTTACCTCTGGCGTGGCTGACCTCCGGTGTCTGCCGCTGCTGTAGATGCGAATCGTTCCGTGTTTCGTCTTTATTTTATCTTGTTGATGTGTAATACTTTGTTTTTATTAGTTTGTTCCCCTCTAAGTGTAATCTCTGATTGCGTTATTGGCGTCGGCCCACGAGACCGGGAGGCACCGTTCGAATCTCCAGCGCAGTGCTACGCCAACTTTTTAGATAACGGTCCGCGGAAGCGGATGTCGCAGAACTACTTCTGAGAATCATTTCAAGCGATCTGCGGGTCCACGCACGAGCAGAAGGAGGGGGGGGGGGGCGTTGCGGGGGGGGGGGGGTAGCAGCCCTGTCACCACTTGCCCTGGCACACGGAGCCTTGTTCATCACGTGACAGAGTCAACCCGATATTTGTTTGTATTTATTCTAAGAGATGGAATGTGTCTCTCTCTCTCTCGCTTCTCACCCCCTCAATTCTTTACGTTTGTTGAGTTGGGAGTTTTTAGAATTGTTTCGTAAAGATGAATTCACACTCGGGAAAACGTGTGAGAGATGGCCACAGCTTGGGGAGGGAGGATGAGGAGGCTTTCATCCAGCAGTGGATTGAGCATGGCTGGCCGTAACCATGATGACGATGATGAAACATGCGGGGTTCAACTGCACCCCCCTCCTCCTCCTGATCCCACACTGACTCCCCCCCCCACCCCCTCCAACTCCCTCGCGTTGCCGCTCGGTTTTCAGCAGAGATTTTAATTCGTCATGGAATATTGCGCGGTGGCTCCTAACCCCTAACCTCTCTTTTTCTGGAGCTCGGCCCTGGACTGCTCCGGCTGAAATTAAGGCCCGTTTTTTTTCTTCTGGTTGTCCCCTCCCCCTCCCAACCCTCTCTGCCACCTCCCAACCCTTTCTGCCCCCGCCCCCCCCCCCCCCCGCGCTCCTCCTCCAGGTGACTCGTGCGAGGAGGTGCTCCTGGCCACTGCGTTCTCCGCCTCCTCGGAGCTCACAGGCGCTCACGCGCCCAGCTACGCGCGCCTCAACCGACGAGAGGGTTCGACCCCCCCCCGCTCCCTCCCTCCTCCGTCCTCCCAGCTCCCCCCCCGCCCCGCCCATCTCCTCCTCTGCCCCCTAACCCCGCGCCCCCATTAATAAAGGGATAAATAATTCAACGTTGAACGCAGCGAAGAGAGAGAGAGAAATGTGGTCCGTCTCAAAATTGACAACGGCGCCGTCGTAAGCGGAGCGGTGTCGAACGAAGAGCCGCGGGGGGCGATCGACCGAGTGCCGAAGTGACGGGAGGGGGGGGGGGGGCCAGCACAGTCAAGCGGGGTGGTGATGGGGGGGGGGCCCTGCAGAGATAAAAGCGCGCACGGCTAAAACGTGGCGATGCACGCGGTGGCGGCTCGTGACGTCGCCACGAGGGTGGTGCTGTTGTGAGTGACCTCTGAAAAGATGGTGTTCTAGTTGAGGAAAAAGCTCGTCACGTTATTGGCCTTCTCGTAAACGTGATTTCACCGTCGTATCTAGCAACGGTATGCGTTTATAAACGATACGGAAAAATCTTCTTGGTCACGTAGAAGGGAAGTAATAAAATAATATAAATAAAACATAATAAAATAATTCTCACGACGTTTCGGCCACAACGCAAGCAGCCGTCCTCAGGTGAAGAACATGTCTGTCGATAAGACAGAGTCTAAATGACACGTCTTAGGCTTGGAGTGTCTATTTAAGCTGTGAGGGAGGAGGAAGAGAGCCTTGACAAAATAATTTACATTATTTTGCACGGAAAAAACAACAACATAGCACTCAAAAGCTGTCCCCATGACCCTCAAGACCACACAACACAACCCCTTTGGCACTGCCAAAAGCCGAAAGAACAATTAAAGATCAGCCGACACGACTCGACAAATTAGCCAAGGCAAGCCGGACACCGCATACTGCACAATGACAGCCACACACCGTCGTACACCGGACCTACACAAAAAAGCTTTGATCTGTATTCGCTGGCACTACTATTTCACTTTTCATGAGAGCTCGCCTCGTTGTGTGTGGTCACTGTTTGTCTCACTGTTATCTGTGGCAACGGTAACATCACTTGACACTGACTACATTGTCGAATCGAAAGCTAGGCCTATACTGGCATTAGCCTACACATTTGATCTTGGGTTTAAGCCACGATTAGAAGTGCAGTGTAACAAATATTTCTGGTTTTAAAGCCACATTAGTGCTTTTAGGCTATATGCTTAACCATATTTCAATCATATTCTTAGATTTTCGGTAAAGTCACGTAGGTAAAAAAATGTAAATTAATTAAAGTAAAATAAAAATAAAATAAAAAGCACGACGTTTCGGAGGCAACACAAGCCTCCGTCTTCAGGTGGAACCGTCACAGCACGATAGCTGTATCAAGTACATTTACAGCTATCGTGCTGTGACGGTTCCACCTGAAGACGGAAGCTTGTGTTGCCTCCGAAACGTCGTGATTTCTATTTTTTTTACTTTTATTAATTTTAATTTTTTACCTACATGACTTTACCGAAAAAACCTAAGAATATGAATCCTTGCAGTCACGAAAGCTTCAAATCTCGAACATATTTCAATTAACTTATTAAATTGCCATCAAATAATTAACATGGCTCACTGTGCATAATATCGCCAAGATGAGCGACTCACAATAGCGGGGGCTCCGTTTCCTCCCCACTGGCCGATTTCATCAGTATGACATAAGTATACCAAGTTTGCAGTCGATACCACATTGGGAAGTGAGTTAAAATTGAGTTACAAGATTTGAGGAAACGACAACAACGACAATAACAACGACAACAACAACGACGGACAGAGTGCAAAAATAATTTCTCATCTCCAGCTGCTTGGTGGGGCGACGCCCCCAAGGCCCCGAGTGGACGAACCTCGCCTGGATGCACGGCAACCCCCACCACCTCCACCACCCCCACCACCCCCATCACCCTCACCACCCTCACCACCCTCACCACCCCCACCACCCCCACCACCCTCACCACCCCCACCACCCCCACCACCCCCACCACCCCCATCACCCTCACCACCCTCACCACCCTCACCACCCCCCACCACCCCCACCACCCTCACCACCCCCACCACCCCCACCACCCCCACCACCCCCACCACCCTCACCACCCTCACCACCCTCACCACCCCCACCACCCCCACCACCCTCACCACCCCCACCACCCTCACCACCCCCACCACCCTCACCACCCTCACCACCCTCACCACCCCACCACCCCACACCCTCACCACCCCACCACCCTCACCACCCCCACCACCCTCACCACCCCACCACCCCACCACCCTCACCACCCCCACCCACCCCACCACCCTCACCACCCCCACCACCCTCACGACCCCCACCACCCCCACCACCCTCACCACCCCCACCACCTCACGACCCCCACCACCCCCACCACCTCCACCACCCTCACCACCCCCACCACCCCCACCACCCCCACCACCCTCACCACCCCCACCACCCTCACCACCCTCACCACCCTCACCACCCCCACGACCCCTCACCACCCCCACCACCCCCACCACCCTCACCACCCCCACCACCCTCACCACCCCCACCACCCCCACCAAGAAGCCAGCAGCAAGCACGCTCGACCACACACACACACAAATGTAACAATCGACGGAGCCATCACGACCGGGGGTAAAACGAAAATCTCGTTTTTCCACCCGACAGATGTTATTGGGGAGGGAACCCCACACGCCCCGTGCTAACCGCCGGGAAGGGAGTGGGGGGGGCACATGGGGTTGTGTGGTGCGGGAAAAGGGGGGGGGGGTGGGTTGGTGGACACAAGGGCGAGAGAGATCTTTGGCGAGGGTGCGGGGCGCGCTGTGAGGAACGACGGCGGTTACGCCGCGCGATGCGATGCAAATGTAATGCACATTTAGACAGATTCGTTCACATTAAATTCCCACGGATATGCCGCTCCAGATAACGCGCGCAATCCTTCAAGGGGGGGGGGGGGGGGGAATCTCGGGTTGTTTGAGGTGGGGATGGAGGGGAAGGGGGGCGGAGGGGGAGGGAGAGCAAGATTTTAATGATTCAATCTCGAAGATTCGCGGAGGAAAGCACCACCCCCCCGCCCGCCCGAGACGTTAGCACCGAGCTGAAGGTGATGTGAGGTCGGTAGCCGCGTGCGGTGCGAGTTGCGGGTGCCAGGAATAGGTGCACTCTGAAGTCACGTGGCAGATCGCAGGCTGTTAGGGGAGCTTGGCACGAGGACTGGTCGAGGCTAGCGGGGGGTGATGACCCCCGGTGGGGTCAAGGCGAACGTCGGAGTGGCGCACAAGGGAGGGAGAAACTCGTCGGCCACCGGGGGAGATGGGGGAGCCGTGGAGTAGGCTCGTGCGTGCGGCACTCGGCGCGTTGCGACATCGCAGCACCGCCAGGGTGGCCGAATGTTTTGGCGGAGGCCTTCGTCCAGCAGTGGATTAAACATGGCTGAAGATGGGGGGATGATGTAAATACAAGACAAAGACAAAATAATCCTCCGTATAGCAAGTGCTGTTAGTGAGCACCTATGAAGGCCGGAACGGCATACGACGGGGTGGGTGGCCAGCACCACGCCCGGTCGCCTTTGTCTCCCTAGTAGCGATGTTTACACACCGCACCAGCTACTCATTTGAGGCCGAATCAACCTAGGGGAGGCCGAGGAACGGTTCAGATAATCGCCACTGGTGTTGGCCATGAGCTGGAATCAAACCCGGGTCGCCAGGTTTGTAGCGCAGCGCGCTAACCGCTACACCACCACTCCCCGCAAGCCCTACACACACACACGCTCATACACTGGCACTGCCATACTTTGTATCTCCCCAACCGATCTCCCCTCTCTGTTCCACAACCTCCCTCCCCATGCCCCCACTTATCTCTCTCCAACCTCCCTCTCTAATACCCCCCTTCCACCTCCCAACTTTCTCTCCACTGACTCACCCCCCCCCCCCCCCACTTCTCTCTCTCCCCCACCTCCCATACCCCCCTGCCCCCCACCAATGCCTCCCCCTTAATCGCCCCTTTCTCCACCACCCCCCTTACCCCTCGTGCCCCTCCTGGACATCTGTGGAGGAAGAAAAAAAAGCGCGTTGCAGCTCATCGGCTCCCCCCCCCCCCCACGAGTACAAACGCGGACTCTGACCCTGCGTAGGGGCTGGAGGCTGGGCCCCTGCCGCCGGGGACCCTGCCCCGTGGCTGCAGCTGGACCTGGGCTCGCGTGTGCGCGTGACGGGGGTGGCCACACAGGGCCGCTACGGCTCCTCCGAGTGGGTGCAGCGCTACCAGCTGCTCTACAGCGACGGCGCCGGAAACTGGAGGCGCTACCAGCGAGACGACAACCTGTGGGTGAGTGGGGGGAGGGGGGTTGCACGGGAGGGGGGTGAGTGGGGGGGAGGGGGGTGAGTGGGTGCGCGTGGGGTGATTGGGGGGGGGGGGATGCACGGGAGGGGGAGGGTGGGGGGAGGGGGGTGAGTGGGTGCGCGTGGGGTGATTGGGAAGGGGGGGTGAGTGGGGGGAGGGGGGTGAGTGGGGGACAGTTCTGAAATGTCAAGATTTTTAAAGAAAGATCGACGGGCAAAGACAACGATCACCCATATAGCCTTTACACGGGGTTTGGGGCAAGTGCCGTTAGCGAATGGCAGCTATGAAGGCCGGTGCACGAGGGGTGTGGTTGGCCAGCACCACGCCCGGCCGCCTTTGTCTCCCCAGTGGCGATGTTTACGCATCGCACCGGGTACTCATTTGAGGCTGAGTCGACCTAGGGGAGGCCCAGAACCGGTTCAAATGCTTCGCCACTGTTATTGGTCGTGAGCGGGAATCGAACTCGGGTTACCGGATCCGTAGCGCAGCGCGCTAACCGCTGCACCACCGCTCCCCTAGTCTGTTAATGCCATATGGGGGATCTTTGTCTCTATTTAGGGTTTTTTCATACAAAGCAGAAAATGTTAAAATTATCCCCCTGAATGTTGAGTCAGAATGAGGCGCCGTCTGTAAAAGGGTATATTATACGGAGCACGAATATCTTTTGATAGTATATATATTTTCACATTATCTCAAGTTTTTACTCTTTCCCATTGGTTTTGCTGTAATTACTTGTATAATGCTCTTTTCGCTTACACACGATGTCTGTGATTCGTAATAAATTACCGGATGAAAGTGCTTCTGGTAGTGGTGCATTTGCACTCGAAGTGCCCATTATTGAGATGACTGTGAACATGAGAGGCTCTGAATGGACCAGGAGGCTCTCAGTGTTAAGGCCGAGTCGACCTAGGGGAGTCACAACCCTCGTTTTGGACACGAGAACGTAAGAGGCCGAGTGGAAGTTGGTCCTCTAAAAACATTTCAATGGTAAATTGAAACTTAAATAGCCATTCGAAAAACAAAGACAAAGATCCCCCGTTATGCATTCAACAAACTGTTGGGGCAAGTGCTGTTAGCGAGCACCACTGAAGTGTGGCACAGCACACGAGGGGGTGCGGTGTCCAGCACCACCACCCTCGGCCGCCTTTGTCTTCCCACTGCCGATATTTACACACCGCACCCGGTACTAACTTTAAGGCTGAGTCGACCTCGGAGAGGCCCAGTTCCAGTTCAAATATTCGTCGCTATTATTGGTCGTGAGCGGGAATGAAACTCGGGTCACCGGGTTCGTAGCGCAGTGTGCACTGACGCAAAGACAAAGATCCCCCGTATAACCTTGGCAGACTGTAGGGGCAAGTGCTGTTAACGAGCACCTATGAAGGCCGGCACTGCACACGAGGGGGTGGGTGGCCAACACCACGCCCGGCCGCCTTTGTCTTCCCAGTGGCGATGTTTACACACCTTACCAGGTACTCATTTGAGGCAGAAGCGACCCAGGACCGGTTATGATAATATAATCGTCCTTGGTGTTGGCCGTGAGCGGGAATCGAACTCGGGTCGACAGGTTCGTAGCGCAGCGTAGCGCTAACCGCTACCCACACTGACACACACACAACACATTGTGTGTGTGTCAGTATATCCGTTGCATCTCAAACAAAGAGCAAAAAAACACACACAATCAACACCTGCAACCCCAGTGTCTCTCTCTCTCTCTCTGTGTGTGTCTCTCGCTCTCTTTGTGTGTCTCTCTCAAAACGATCCGGATTTGAGAATCGATCCGGGAGAGGAGGACACAACATCTGAGAAAATGATGAATTCAATCGCTGACAACAAAAAAATCCATTGGGCGTCTGTGGCTGTTCAATGGCAAGCGTTAAGCGAAGCAAGGATACAATTCACTTGAACACGTGGTCGGCTTTCGCGAGCAATGTTGTCCAAAATAAAGGGATTTTTATTTATTTATTCTTGTCGTTTGAGACCGCGTTAATATAAACGTGTCGTTAAGCCCGCCACCACCCGACACAGCCAACGAGTGGGGGTTGTCACGTGAACAATCGCTGATCTCATTTACTGCGATTGGCGGTCGGAGGGCTCCCGAGGAGGTGAAGTATGGGGAGGGAGGTGGGGGGAGGGGGGGGAGGTGGCAGAGGGAGGGGTTAGAGAGCATGAATAATACACAACCTTCTTGACCCTTCAGGGTTAATAAAGGATGGGAGAGAGGGATGCGAGGTCGCATGAATTTGCCCTGCCTCGCCGCCTCCCAACATCGATTCCACCGGTGACCAATTACTGGACCGTCACGCGAGCTGGGGCGCGCGTGTGTGTGTGGGTAATATAGCAACACACACACACACACCATGGCTCGGAGTAATATAGTAACACACACACACACACCACCACGGCTAGGGGTAATATAGCGGTCAGCGCGCTGCCCTGCGAACCCCACGACCCGCGTTCGATTCCCGCTCACGGCCAACACCACCAACAGTGGTGACGATTGTCTGAAACGGTCCTGGGCCGTTTCAGGTCGACTCAGCCTCAAATGAGTACCCGGTGCGATGTGCAGGCATCGCCACTGGGGAGACAAAGGCGGCCGGGCGTGGATGTTGGCCACCCACCCCCTCGTGTGCCGTGCCGGCCTTCATAGGTGCTACTCGCTAACAGCACTTGCACCAACAGTGTTTTAAGGCTATACGGGGGATCTTTGTATTTGTAATATAGTAATGTATATACACACACAGCATGGCGAGGGGTATTGTAGTGGTCAGCGCGCTCTGCTACGAACCCGGCGCACAGAGTTCCGATTCCCGCTCTGGGTCACCAACCCCAGTGACGATTATCTGAACCGATCCTGCGCCTCCCCTAGGTCGACTCGGCCTCAAACGAGTGTGGTAAACATCGCCACTGCGGAGACAAAGGCGGCCGGGCGTGGCTGCTGTCCACCCACCCCCTCGCGCGCCGCGCCGGCCTTCATAAGATGCTACTCGCGAGAACACCACTTGCCCCAACAGTCCGTTAGAGGCTATACGGGGGGTCTTTGTCTATTGTGTCGTGGTTACTTGGGTTGGAGCGGTGGCGCAGTGGTCGGCGCACTGCGCTGCGAATGAGCCGCCAGTCTGAGTTAGGGGTTCGATTCCCCGGCAGCGGTTCTTGCAGTGCCCGCCCATGGATAAAATCAGTGGCGATCGAGATAAATAAAAAAATATCAGCCAACCGCCACTGACCAACACACACGATCGATCGAGTCTGCCTGGGGAGGTCTTCACGCAGCAGCACATCATTGATCAAGAGCTGTAATAATTGTATTTTCTTTATTTTTATGGAGCGACTGGCACGCGCCGTAGGAATGTGGAGTTGACACCGCTGGCTTAGGGCCGTGCGCAGAACGGAGTGAATCGCCCCATACTGGTTTGAGCGGAGAGACAGCACGAGAGAGTGTGAGTTACGTTCAGCCGTAATGAACACCGGCGCTTGTGTTGAAACAAAACAAACACAGGTCGGGCGGTGTTTAATTTGTTCAGCATTAGGAATATCTGCTGTACAGCGCAGGTTATGGAGGCCAAGATTGTAATGCTAGAGCCAGGATTAGGGTTAAGGCTAGCGGGGATTGTCCGGGTTTGACGAGGATTGTGTGCGGGTTGTCGGGTTTTGTCGATGCTCGGGTTGGATTTAGGGCTAGGGTTCAGTTCGGGTTTGAACGAAGTTTGGGTCAGGGTTAGAGCTCGGGTTCGATTCGAGAAAGGGCTGAGTTTATATCGGGGTTAGGGCTAGTCTCCAATGAGGTTTAGGGCTAAGTTTGGGGCAGGGTTATGGTATAAGTTAAGTTGGGTTAGGGGTTTGGGCAGGGGTGGGGAACGTCCGGCCCGCGGGCCGTGTGAGGCCCGCGAAATCATTTGGTGTGGCCCTGCCAAGGCAACCACAGGCGGGACTCGAAATGCAATAAATCTAGGAGCAAACATGGAAAAGCAGTTGTGAGTAGCAACATCATCAATACCAACTAACATCACGCGCCTCGCCAAAGAGAAGCGGTTCCAGCCATCACTTTAGGGGTGAGTTAATTAAATGTTTGACCAAATATAACAGGCTAATTATTAAGTTGATAATTTTGTATGGCTCGCGAATGATGTTATAAATATCCAAATGGCCCTTGGCAGAAAAAAGGTTCCCTACCCCTGGGTTCGGGGATAAATTATGGCTTTGGTTGGGTCAGAGCTAGGGTTAGAGTCAAGGTTAGGTGCAAGGCAAGGGTTCGTGTTTTGTCAGGGTTAGGGCAAGGATTACAACCGGGTTCAGAGTCAGGCAAATGGTGGAGTTTAAAGGCCATAGATTTCAGGGTTGAAAAAATTGGGGCTAACGTCGAACTAAGAGCCTTGGTGACGGCGATTGTACCCCGATGACATCTCAGCCGCAACACAAAAACACATTACCTCTACAAACGTGTCAGCGAGATAGCGTGGCGACGCATCGACAATTAATGGCGTTCCCGTTGCATAATTATATTTATCGGGAATAGAACCTTTGCCTCTGTACCGCGTGGCAGCGCTGACTGCCCAACTGCAGCAGCAGCAGCATCATCATCAGCCGTCCGATTGGGGGGCGGGGGGCACCAATCATCTCATCAGCTGAGCGCTAATTGGACGATAAAACTGCATCTTTAGGGCTCTCAACAGATTGCAGCGGCCGTATTTATATTTTCCCCGTATCGCATAATGGCTCGATGCTGTACAGTGCTGCGAGGGGGTGAGAGCGGGTCGTGGGGGGGGGGCTGAGGGTGGTGGGGGCCCGAGGGAGGAGGGGGGCTGAGCTGCTGTTAATTGCCCGTGTCGATGTTCGGGGGGGTGGGGGTAATGGGCGAGGGGGGCGAGGCTGAGATTCCCCTCCGTGGAGCAGAGTCAGCGTCTACCCCGCCCGGCAACGGCCCCTCCCAGAGGCAGCCGCACTGCGGACTCGCAGCCCTCCCTCCCTCCCTCATCAGCCCGGCCCTC